ATTAATAGGACTAAAAAGAATTATACAGAGCTAGCCCCACAGTGAGTTTGTAAAAGCCAATGAACCCGGGACATCCGGAGGTTACTTCCTTGAGCCCACAGGGTCTCTGGCCAGCAAGTCTGAGTGCAGCCACATGCTGGATTTTCGTCCATGACACTGGTCCTCAGCACCCCAATACCTGCAGTTTGCAACAGTGCTTAGGCTAAAGCACCACACCAGAACTCCAAGAATAGGGTTGTGTTTTGGTGGGACACAATTCAAATCATAGTCATAATACCTGTGAAACACTGTGAGGGATCGTGGAGATATGATCTCTGCTCACCTTACAGATCTCCACTAATTGGTGACATGAAGTGTAAACATATAAAGAGTTTCATATCCCAGTAGATTCTGAGCAGCCACACGGGAGATGTTGTCAAGGTTAAAGGGACACATGTCCTTTGAATAATCTCTGCCTTAGTAATTATAAAGGAGACAGAGATGGGGCATAAGCACTCATCTCTCCCTCTTCCCTTGTATCTTCCCCTCTTTCACAATTTTCTCCAGACCTTCATACTTTTGCTCAGGTTGTTCGCTTGATGCTGAGGAATCTTAACCATCCTTGAGAAGCCCTCAATGCTCCCAGACTCAAATCCTCCTTGCAGGTTTCTCACAGTGGCTCACTTACAACTCTGCCTTCACTCATCATTGTATTTCCTCGGCCTCTAACAGTGCTTGGTCACAGAAGGAGTTTATCTGTTAAGAGGGTAAACTGCCGCCCTCAGATTCCTGCCATTTCCATGAAGTGGAAAGGCAATGGATGGACAGACATATTGTCTATTAGAGGGCCCCATTAGATCTCACACTAGTGGTCTTTGTCAGAGAAAGCTCATCCTGTTCCACCTATTAATTCTCCCCTCCAGGAGTCATAACAGCAGCTGAAAAGTTTTAAGCCACTAGTAGAGAAAAATTTTGAGAAAGATTTCTGTTATTCACCAATGAGAAAAATTTTAAAAATTGTAGTATTTGGGACCGTTTACAAACACAGAAACAAAATCAACCACATTCTAATTACCTAGAAATAACTACTATTCACAACTTGATACATTTCCTTCTATTATTTTTATTTATGTATATATACACATATAGACAGACATACAAGGGGCTTCAAAAGTTTGAGGAAAAATTCAATTATCTTTCAATTCTATCTTTCCACAAACTTTTTGAAACCTCCCTTATAGTTTCTCCCCTCACAAATTAGAATAATATGCATATGCAGTTTTGTAGTTTTCATTCATCATAGCATTTCTCCCATGTCATTTTCCATAATTGTGTGATTCTTATTGGTTTTCTGGAAATCAATGATAAAAATGGACTCAAATTTGTTTTACGGAAGCATCACTAATGGACCTTCAGGTTATGGGCCATCTCCCATTTAGGACAGGGATCCATTCTAACGACTGCTGTGAGTCCCTTCTGATATAAACTAATACTTTTTTTTTTTTCTTCAATTTTCAATATTATTGCCTTTTATTACCAGTATCTTTATAAGTCTGATATTTATTTGTCTTTAGGGGTTGGAAACATTACATCTAAGCATTCTTGTTGTTGTTGTTAAGTTCTGACGAGTTGGTTCCAACCCATAACAACATTGTATACAGTTCCCAAGGAGCTATTGGTGAGTTTGAACTGCAGGCCTTTTGGTTAGCAGTCCAGTGTGTATCCTACAGCACCACACCAGGACTCCTCTGAGAATGACAATGTCAGCAGATTATGTGTTGCAGTACAGCATGTGGTGGTGGTGGTGGT